TGAAATTAACTTCTCGGGCACTCCCTTCAGGGAAAGGCAGCGCCAGAGTTTAGAGCGGTCGACTGAGTCGAAAGCCGCTTTTAGATCGAGGAAAATAAAAATGGTGGGTCTACGAAAGGAGTGTCTATGTCCTAGAATTTGACGGAGTGTGAAGATGTGGTCAATACAGCCTTGACCAGGTCTGAAACCAGCCTGGCTCTCACGCTTACACCGTTCACGTTCGGCAGACAATCGACGGAGTATGATACCAGCGAGAAGTTGAGATACCGACTAACTTAGGTGAGCCTAAATATGAACAATTTTATCGTTCTCCTTCGATCATGAATAGATGTCTGGAGAGTTGCCTTGCCCCAATAGGCAAGCATGCGGGTTAACCAAAACCCAATTAAATGAGGCTTACCAGGTAAAGGTACTGTTACTGGGCACAAAAGGATTCACGACCCAATTACCCTTGCATCGTTAACTGTACAAAAAACCACCGTTGTCCCCCTCCCCCTTCCAATCGAATAAGGCACACTCTTGCAGGCTCAAGGAGGACGATTGAGAACGCCTATCGGTACAAGACAATAGCTACTCGATTTTCGGGTGAAGCAAAGTTTGATAGAAGGTGGTGATTGATTTACCAGACTAGCGTTTATTGCATTCACCTACGAGGCAGCTGTCACAGCTAAGGGTGCACTTCGGATAATTATTTGAATCATCTTAGCAGTATTTGATGTATATTCGATAGACGGCAATTCATAATTGATTTTTCGTCAATGTATTCTTGACAATCATATGTCACCCAATACCCTATGTGACCCAATTGAGTGACAAACAAGTTATCTGAGGGTACGTCGCGGGTCAGATAGGAGAATAAATGGAAGGTTGAGGACATATGACATCTATGTGCACACATACACCCACCGCAGAAAGCATGGTGATGAAATGTAACACGACTTCAGATAATCCAAAATGAGGTTTGTTGACTTACTCGTTGACGCTTCATTTTTTTCCGGGATGTGCTGTTCTGACAGAGAATGGTCAATCTCTCGGTGAGGAAAAATGCATAAATGCCCAGTAAGGCGACCAAAGATTTCATTACCATGTCGCGGTGATTGGTATCATTGGACCCTTCCATAACATGGTCATGAACGTCACTTGATTTTCCTCCGTGAGAGTGTCCGCCCGAGAGTGCCTGATAGTAAGTATGCAGCGGGTAAATATAGGTTTGTGTATTGCACAAATTCGTTACTGTGGAATGATAAATAAAAACAAAGAAATTCTTATTACCTTCGGACACAAAGGATTGACCTTTTAAACAACGATAATGGTAGGGGAAATCGGGGAGAAGCAACAGGTGGTGTGAACCCAGCGCAGAATGAAGTTCGCGAAGAAGATAAGTTTGGAAAAACGCCCAAAGGCAAGCATAATACCCGTGTTCCTGTAGATCAATAGTATTAAACTTCTTATCTGTCTTAAACAATACAATACCATACAGTACTATTGGACAAACTAAATTAAATCGAGGTACCTCAAAGTGTCTCTCCAGATCATATATTCAGCAGCTTCCGATCATACTCGATTGAAATAGAATAATTAGCAAACACTCGAAAACAGAAGTCTTCTAAAAGGCGTCGTGTTGACCTCCACAAAAGTTTCTTTTCGCACCCGCCCATTCCTTTAACGAAGCAGGATAAGGTTAATTATTTTAATCATATTCCAAACAATCATTTCGGCTGGTTCTGCTATACAGTGCAGAAACTTGGCCATTAAGAAAACAAGATAAAGATAGACTGTCGGTGTTTGAACACTGATATCTACACAGCATTGCACGAATCTAATGGGGTAACCGGAAAGCGATTCTGAGGTTAGGAGCAGAGTTTTAGGTATTCGCTATTGTCCAATGGAGAAAGTAGTCGCCCCCCATGAATTTCGTTTGTTGGGATGTGTTATGCATGTCACCAAATACGTTGCCACGGCGAGTGATTTTCGCCAAGACAGGTAGTGGGTAGAAAAAAGCCAAGGGTAGTCAAAATGAGAGCTAGCACGAGGGTATGAAAACCCCAACCAGGAAACTCGGTCACATAGGTCGTGTTAGACTTACTGACTGGGGGACCTCGGGATGATCGTAACCGGTGGTAAGAGACACTGAATGATACGGCTGAGAGTTGTAAACAATGGCTTTTTGTGCATCTCGATTTCTTTGCAACCTTAGCTCACTGAAATTCACTGTTTTCTCTTCGACTTTACTTTCAACTTTCCTGTCTTTCTTCTACTGCTTCATCCAAATGGGCAGCCGAAAGACAGTGAACGAAACCGGCTCGTGAAAGTGTATGGTTAAATAAGCTCCAAACAAAAAAGACCGCAAAAACCCTGGCTGCGTACGATTATGTGCAGGGCAGAGATTGTACACATACAATTTTGGCAACCAACGCCAAATGAAACCCAGACTCAAGGCCAGGATTGCAGAATCGAGTTCAAGCTTTTCTACGATACAAATGGCACGCAGTTGGTTTCAGAATACGTGAGTCTGAAAGACATACACAAACAAACCCTAGTAATCAATAGCATTGTGAACAAGCCAATAATTTCTTTCTTAGAGATACGCTGCTATGACAAGCGTACAGTTTGAGCTAAACCGATGCACAAACCACCCAGAGGGGAGACATGCATAATGGTGACCTAACTCCTTGTTTTCTCGAAAACAACGCCACTTCAAAGACAAACACAGTATACCGCGTGTATCTGTGGTTCAATTATCAGTAAAATACAAGTTTTGGTCACGCGAACTGTGGCAGTCTGAAAATTGGTAAACCTTCGGAAGACAAGATAGTCGGTATCTGCGGTTGGAATTCCTCCAAAATATAACGTATACACAGGCCATACTTTGACCTATAACTGATCGTCCCGATTCTCAGTTCAGTTTCACTCAACATGAACGCGCTGAGTAACACCCGACGCAAAGAATAGCACGAGGCAAAAAAGAAACGTTTAACACGTGACAGCATAACCGTCCAAGACAACAATGTTTAGTTGCGCACATTCTTGAGTGCGATGTACAGCAGACGGAATGATTCACACAGTCGTGTTAACCTACTATTCAGTGATGGAAACCAGCAACCTAAAACACGGGACTTGGAGCGCGAACTACTACGTTAGTCAGATGTGGTATTGGACCAGACGACAGCGAAGCTGCCCACCATACCGATGGAAACAACGAAGTTCATTTTATAAGACTAGAATTGCTTTGATGCAACGTTTACCCAACTAAACTACCATACCCTGTTTGCTGCACAGGATGGTCTCTCACTGTCACAGATCCAATCATACGGGAAAGATCGAAGGGAAAGGGCAGATAAAACTCATTTTCGCAAGGTCAGTTGACTGGACACCTACGGATTCCTTTGACCACCTACTTTTACCCCTAAAGTCAGCCAATAATGTACTGTTCCGTCCATTTTCGGCCTGTCTCACTTGTTGCATAAGGCTAGCGACCGGACCCCAACAGCTGATTGAAAATCAACGCATCAGCAAACAAAGCCATGAACCGAAACCCGAAGACTTTGCGTGGCAGCTTACTAGAAGCTTCCATAGGAATGCTCTGGTTACCTGCCCGCATTATGCCGAGGCCCCACTGCCAATCAAACTTTGAGGCCGAAGGTTCCGATCAGTAAAACTCCTGCTGAATTTTTAGTTAGACTTTTGACTCAAAACGTTCGATCAGGATAACCAAAGAAAACCCCCTTCATCGGTTTAGGGTACCGTGAAGTGCGCCGCCACCTTATGTCTCACATTCACTTGGGAAACCATCTTTTTAATCTCTGTACTTCCTCCCCTTTCGCCCAAAGCACACAAGATGCCTATTGTTTATACAACTCAGAGTTCAACCAGTGAAGTAAGCTTATCAGAAGCTAATGGGTCGATGGAATCGAAAGTCCTTTTTCATTTAGCAGCATTCCATGTACTCCCAATATATCAGATCGGCCAGGAAGCTGTCGTTACTAGGAACATAAAAACTTTCAATTTAGATATCTGAAGCGTCTTTGATGCACGCATAAAAGACTCTACTTCATTTATCTCGCTGTTTTTTTAGACCAAATCTCGTCTTCACGCTCCACACCGTTTCACATGCGACTCGGTTGCCCGCGTCATGATAACGCCAAGTGTTAGCGTTGCTCACTTGCTTACCGATTGCATTCCAGTTAGTAGAATATTGTAGATTGGAGGTTTCAATGGTTCATTGCCAATCAACAGAAGCAAAACTAAGCGTCGTTTTTTATTGGTTGTGTTCATCTCTACTCAATCTCTATGTTTGGTGAAGTATTTCCCCACCAAACCAAAAGACGGCAACCAAAATCGTCACACAAAAGTGAAGGGTTAATGGTTGCAAAAACTGAAACTGAAAACCATCAGAATTAGACATTAAAAGGCCAACATCTGAGGCTATAACCGGATTAGTGAACAACTGGTAGTTTACCGAGGCAAGTTGGCAGAACTCTCATTCCAAGCCAACAAAGAAGATGTGCATGAACTAAACCCCCAACTTTCTGATTGCGGCTTGATTGGGCATCGAGGTGTATTGGGCACCTTGCAGACTTGACCCCGCCCACAAGGCGTATGGTCCGATCATCTGAACACCAGCTACCAGGGGAACTTCACTGATCGCTACCAAAATTGCAATGCATACAAGGTTAGTGGTAAAATTTAAGGTGGACAGGGATCGGACCTACTTTGAGGGAGGGAGAAAAGGTGAACCTCCATGGTCAACACACGCAGTATACAATCGAACTCTGCATACGTACTGAGGAAATTAGCTTGTCTTAGCCACGATGAATGAAAACCAAAACACAAAGGCGTTGGTGATAACGTTTCGACCCTCTTGGAAGGCCATTTTTCAGTCGTTTTTTCCTCAATAATTTCGTCAATAATCAAGAGCCCAAGATTTTCGGTGAGATCCGTTCCATCCATGGATCTCGTGTTACTGCAAACATACTGTTTCAAGCATTCGGGCCTTATAAGAAATGACAAGAACACCACTACTGTCGGATGGCTGCCATATCCTTTAATGTCTCCAACCAACCAGTTATGGAATCTTTCGGAACCCAACCTGGAAAGCGAGAGACACCTACTCTTTCCAATGAATCTGTGCGATTTTGTATGCCTCATCTACACGTTATCTGTTGACCTCCACGCGGTTTCCTCCAGACTGGAGCGGCTACAGAGAATAAGGTGCGATGTGGTAGACAGTTGCTGGGCCTACGCAATACGTACAAACAGCGAAATTTACCAATCTGAATTCGATGTGCCAGCGGGTTTGTACCTGATAGCCTTCCAAACACACGACAGCTTACCTCCACGTTACTAACCCGTTCGCTCTATAACACATGGGCTAAACTACGTAAACACCAATAACCGAAAACTGCTAGTCGATGGATATCTTCTACTCGTAAATTCAAGGTCCCATAACCATAAAGTAGAACTGAACGAACGCCAGCACAATATACACGACCTTTCAACTTCAGTGAAATGTCGCGTATACGCCAAAGGTGTTTCAGTCATGCATATATTGCTCGAGCCTTGGAAATGCAAGCGGCTCTCTTTTGCTGCGCTTCCATCATTGGTCACGCAACTACCTAAGTAAGTAATCCACTGTAATCAATTCCTGCTCATTTACTTTCAGAGCGGGAAAAGGCGAAACCCAGTCCTACAGCAAGGCCTTGCACTTTGAAGGTGCAAAGCACATACCAAATGTGGTAACCGCACTTGTTAGTCTATCAATTGCGTTTTGCGCGTCCTCCGTACATTCGAACAGACAGACGATGTCATCGACGTACTCCAAATCCCACAGCTTTTCTCTAGCTGCCCATTCAATATCTAAGTTTTAGAGACCACTAAGTGCGTCCTCCAGTATTTCGTCTACGACGAAAGTGAACAGGAACGGCGAGAGACGGCATCCTTGACGAACGCCGCTGCTGGTGGTGAACGGTCTACTTAATTCATCATAGACCCTTAATCGACCAGAGGTACGTGAGTACAGTGACCTCAGTAAGTGAACGTACTTCTGGGGCATTCCTTTTCGAAGGGAACCCATCACAACTTCGCGGCCAACTGAGTTGAAGGCTCATTTTAGGTCAAGAAACACTACGATCGTTGGTCGACGGTGGGCGGGACCTGATGCAACGTAAAAATTTGATCAATACATCCACATCCAGGCCTGAATTCGGCTTGCTGTTCACGGATGTTGGTCTCTCGTAAAGGCGACAGACGTCAGAGTATGACCGAGGCCAGAAATTTGGTGACGATCGGGATCAAACTTATCCCGCGGTGGTTTTCGCAATCGTTGAGAGATGCTTTCTTGAAAATGGGGGCGATCAGTGATTCGCCCCAATATGAAAGAATGCGCTCTTGGGTCCGAATATTGTGCAGTATGGTGGTAATGGATCTTATGAGGTTATCACCTCCCACCTTGAAGAGAGTGGGAGGGAGCTCGTCCGGTCCTGCTGCCTTTCCTCGCTTTAGAGCTTGAATGCAAGAGCCAACTTCTGCTTCTGCTGGAGAACCATACAACACTACCCATGGAACTTCAGTTACAGATTAAGTAACCTGGCTAGCAGCAGTCCAGCTGAACTGTTCACTGAAGTACTCCGTCCAGCGATCAAGTCGTTCATTCCTATTGTGACCAGCTTGTTCTATCTTATCGCAGAATGTTTCACTAACTGGAGTTCGCCGACCTCCCTTATTGCGTATCAGTCAGAACAGTATTTGACTATTCCTTGATGCATCTGCTACTTTCATTTCATTGGCTAGTGTTGTCCACTAATTTCCACGGTCCTTCTTGAGGCTCTTCTTCAGCCAACGTTGCAGACGCCAATCAACCCTGTTTTGATCTTGACAGGTTGGGATTTGTGGTTTGTGATCTATCAATGCTACAGACTGATGAGATATCAAATGCCTCTGACGGGTTTGAGGTTCAACCCCATAAGTAACATTCGTTGCGGAATGGATTGCACGCCTAATCTGATCCCACTGCTCATCAACATCATCACTTTGAAGCGCGATCGCGGTTTGCGCGCATCACTCCCATTTTTTACCACACAAACTTGTGATTAACAGCAGACGGGACAAACTCTATAGTCACGAAGACCTGCTGTTCAGTGATGGAAATCGGTAACCTAAACCACAAGACTAGGAGTGGTAAACCACATAAGGTCCTGCTAGGCTAGCACGGTATTAAACTTCGACTTTGGAGAACCAAAAGCTACGACTGTGAATTCCCCAAGGAAATTTATCTGCCTTAGCCTAATCAACCTGTCATTATTCCGCTCACGAGAAAATAATCTATCGAATGTTTGCCACAGCCTCCGAAAGCTTCATAATGGTTGGGGGTGGGTGTCTCGGGTTTTGCCTTTACTTGCATCTCACGAAATGCTCCCATACGACCAGGCGTCTCAAAAAGCCTCTACTGAGGAAGCCCTACTCACTGACTTCTCGTGGCGGTGTTTTCAAACCAAATTGAGAAGACAAAAAGCCAACACCTGGGGCCATAACCGGATCGGTGAACCTTCGGAGGTTACCTAGGGGAGTTGACTAAGAACCCTGGTTCCAAACCAACCAGGAAGAGATATACGAACCACACACCCATACCCTCCTGGTTTTAGCAGTGATCGCCGGCTCAATTGGGCATTGAGGTGTATTGGGCACCCTAGACGTCTAACCTCGTCCCCACAAACAAATCATGCAACTTTTTTCTTAAGATTATCGTACTGTTATTTGTTTGGCACACAGTCTGGACTCAAACGTGTGTGAAAAATAAAAAATAACTTTTTTCACAATGAATTTTTTCCCTTGATTTGATCAGAGTATAATGTGAAAATAACGAAATATACATGAATAGGAACAGCCGGCGAGTATGATTTAATAAATTAAGTGTGCATACTAGACTTACATGGGGAATGAGATGCAAAAAAGCATCACCGGTCAAAGAGCCCACTGAGAGTGCAATTAGGAACTGCGTTACCACGTTGTAGAAGCTTCTTGACATCAATGGTACCAAAGCAACCACGATAAGACCAGACGATCCCAGAACGATCACTGCCACCACACAGGCAACAATAGCTAATAAGGATGATAAGCGAAATAAAAAAACTGACATTTTTCGCCGCTAGGAAACGTCTTACATTAAATGAGGCTGACATCATCATCCTAATGTATGCAGTGAGAAGGACAGTAACGATGAGACTAGTTTACAAACTTTGCATTCCAAGGGTTGGTGTCTCGATATTTTCTAAGCCAGTATTAGCAGTAGTGTGGAAGTGCAAATTTGCATTTTTAGTTGTCTGGTTATTTGGAAATTGCCTTCAGATTTGAAGACCGCAGTTACCCTCACAAGTTTGAGCCTGTGGAGCAGTTTTCCGGGATATAAATTTGTATTACGTATGCAGCTACTATGAGTCAACAACTAACTGTAGAGGGTTGGGTGAGCAACAGAAACAGTGGGACTATCTTTATAAGGAACGACGCATTCCTTTGCCTTGTCTTACGCCATCTTTTGTATTGTAGTCAAGGTAAGTCAAGAAATGCTTAATGCACCCAAGGGGGCGAATCTCTAACGATTTACGACCTTGTCCAGTTGATTTAAAAAAATTTCGATAAAAAGTGACGGAAAATAAATTCAATACTGTAGTAAAAATACTGCATTGCGTTGAATTTAAGCATTAGTAGGTTGTATACAAGTCTCCAGTCAAAGAGAAACTCTCTTTGTAGCACTGAAGGCAAGGGCATAAAAGGACGCCGCGCAAAACGCGAATCAGCCACCGTTGACGTTCGTCTGAGTTCTTATACCATGGAGCGACAATTGAAAACAATGTGTGAGGCATTAGATGACTGCTAATCTGCGCAACAAGTACCCTAGGAGGTGAAGCCCACTAATGGGAATTCGGTGACGAGTAATGAGGACTTTTCAGAAGACGGCGCGTGCTTTAACCGCTCACCCTGATGATCTGAAGAACATAGAAATTCAACGGGAAAGGCTATATACTATCCGTGGCATTGAATTATTTTCAACCACACCCTTCAGCGTCTCTGACAAATGAAATTTTTCATTTCTTATGCCTTACGCAGAAAGGCTGGAAGCCGCAATCAGAGTCAACACTAACGTTCAATTCCTTAACCGTTGTGTCAGGTAACAGTTTGACCAGAACATCGCTTATGGCACCTTTGTCCAGCATATGCAAAAAGATCACGAGAAAATAGACAACAGGCAGAAATGCGCAAAACATGTTCCAGATAATGGATGCGGTACGCAGTGAATGCTTCGTTCAGAGGGCGATTGATGACGTCAGACACAAGATAACCAGCCGCTTTATTGTCCATCTGATTTTATTTAGACTCCAAGATGAACGGCAAACAATAAGCGAATTGTACGGAACTCTTGGAATAGTCTTCTTGTTCGGAGAAAACAGTGTGGTACACGCTACGAGTGCCATCAGTCGGGATTGAAGGTGAATCCAGTCCACGTCTCAGTAGTCTTTTTGGTTCATGGCGTTTAGTGTCTCCTGTATTTTTTATTACACAATTTAAGTTACAGTAAAGGGGGAACCCTCCAGGGACAAAGAGGAAAGGGAGAGTAAGGAACGAAGGTTAAGCAGTTACAATGGATAAGAGTAGATAACAAGAATAACAATTTTTGTTTCACCGTACACCGTGATATTCTTGGTTGTGTATGTTAATTAATCGTTTTTTACGAAGCAGGTCATTTCAACAGGCTAAATCGACCAAAACCCAAACTTAGGCTACCTTCCTCATACTGATACGTCACGTCATGGTCCGGCCGCCGTGACGTTACTTCAAACCCTGTCCAGCATGTGCAAAAGAGCACGAAAATGTACGCGATGGGCAGGCATAAGCAAAACGTGACCAAGCCAACGAAGGCGGTGTAGAGCAATTACTTCCGTTATAGAACGACTATCCACACTCAACACACGACGACGAACCTCGTGAATGCTCATCTGGTGTTTCCGCCAGACATGATTAATGCTTCGGAGATATCGTTTGTCAAATACAGAAAGTCGATTAGCATCTTCAGTGTGGACGAAACAGGTCTCGCAACCGTTAAGCAGAACACGGCGATATGCGATATTCCCCTAAGGGACAGTCGGATATCACGGCAGTAGCGCATATGTAGCAGATTGATAAAAGGTTCGCTAGTTTTTGCTTTGCGTGATCTCCGACACAACATCACCTCCAGCTGCGACAAAGCTCCCGAGATGCTCGAAGCTCTCAATCATTTCCAAGTGATTTCCACTGAGGTTAAATGCAGGCACAGACTCCTGCCAGTCTTTGACAAGCACTTTGCACTTGGCTGGTGCAAAACATACTATACTTGGATACCTCGATCGCCAAGTGGTTTAAAGCGTGTTGGATTGCCCGTGAATTGTCACCCGACAAGGCGATGTCATCGGCATATTAAAACTCAAGAACCCCGTTCCCTGGGAGGAGTTTGACTACACCGTTTGTTAGACCGGACAAAGCATTCTGTAGAACATCCTCTATGACAGTTGAAAAGGAATGGGAATAAAGGTTAGTCTTGGCGAAATCCGTAGGGGACCGTAAAGGGTTGTAAAAGCTGGCCATAGACGCTAACCCAACCTGAAGTACGACGATACAACACAATACATACTTCTCTAGTACTCCGTTCCTCAAAAAAACAGTTCCTTCAAGCGGTTCTATCGATATAATCGAAGGCCGCGTAGAGGCCTAAGAACACAATGATCATTGGTCTTTCATAGGCATGAAGGAGCTTTAGGAGCTGTCGGATAGTAAAGATTTCATCGATGCATCCACGATCGATGCGAAACCTGCTCCTCGTAGGTCTGCTCTCATGTATGGTGTACAACCCGAGGAGAATGACAGATACCAACAGCTTTGAAGCTATCAGAATCAGGGTTATAACCTTAGCATTGGCAAAGTCACTGTGCGGACCCTTTTTAAGGATGGAGACGACAACCGATTTCCCCTAATGACCAGTCCCAACCAGAGATACCTCTGACCGTATTTAGGATTTCAAAGCCCGTGACGTTTATTGCAACACGATCTTATAAATGTGTAAAAATGTTATTTATTCTACTCTAGGAATTTGCACCTAAAGCACATCTACGTCGTA